AGTTATCAAATAGTTCGTTTCTATATATGTTGGCGTTTGTTTTTGTTCTACTTCATTGTTCCTATTGTTCCTTTGTTTTCCTCTTATAGTTGATTTGTTTCCCGCGGTATTTTGTAACCCGGATTTGTTTTTTCACAATCGATTTATGACTTTTGAACACCGGTATACTACTGGTGCATTTATTCATGAGTTCGTAAGAAAAACACGTACTGATCTAAGAGTACTCGCAATTACTGAAAGCTAGTTAAACGCCAATTACAACTAATCTTTTTCCTAGACAGAAATACGAATCTAAACACATCGAAAATAGTCCAAGAAAAACATGATCTTGTACCATAAAAGGGTCTAAAGGATAATGTCATATTTGGATGATGATAATACTTTCCTAACCAGCTTTTCACAGCATTCAAATGAAGATAACAAGTCATACATTAACAATGCTGTGGTTTTTTCCTCGGTTTTTTCACATGTTTAGCCCCGCCACATTCTCTTTAGGCCAGTTCCAAGCCTGTAATACGGTTTGTTCCTGTATATCATTATTTTTTTGTTTACTTGTTTGATCAACTATATACCTACCTAACTACAAAATTATTTTCATTTACCTGTGTATATTATTGTATTTTGTGGCTTTTTTGTTCAAGGTTATTGTTACTTTTTTTAAATTGTTTACCTATTAAAACGTTTAAACCCGCTACATTTGTTAGCACCTGTCCTAAGTCAAGAATCTGATGTTCAGTAGTTGTCGTTGTTAAACAGCCTTGGCTCACAGCGAACAGCAAGCTATAAAGGGCCCCAAACATGACCAGTGTAAAACCGGAAAACCAACGGTCTAATCTATATAAAAAACGAGAAACGAGAACCATTTATGAACCACATCAACAAACGACAACTACTGAACATCAGATTCCTGAGTGAGGACAGGTGCAAACAAATGCTGCGGGTTTAAACGTTTAAATAGGTACCAACCTTCCTCCTTATCTGAAACAATAGTGTAACATCACAAGGCTCAGTGTTGAAGACCGTACTTTGACCTATAACGGTTTACTTTTACAAATTGTGACTTGGATGGAGAGTTGTCTCATTGGCACTCATAACACATCTTATATCTATTCTCTATTTTTGTTTTGCCAATTATTATCTACATATCTATATTCTGTAATCCCCATCATCACCTCATAAGGAACAAAGTTATCTAACATAGACTTTTATAAATTGATGAACAATATCAATGTAAAATACGCAACTATTAAAATAACATGTGACTTTATATGAAGACATAATCAGGAATATGACTCTTCCTTCCAGGTAAGCAGTCAAATATTCTACATACATGTACATCCAACAAGGATGTGACAACTGTGGCAGCCTTCTTGTATTTCTGATCATAAACATGATATATTAGGGGGTAAGACCTTGGTTCAGGAAGATATATCTTTAAATCAGTTATGCGTTTGTAAAGGCAAGTTTCATCAATGAATTTAAGCATTTACCTGAAACAGATTGAAAATAATCTATGTATCATAGAAGCTTAGAATATATTTATGAAAATGGCTGACACAAATGTACTGATGATTTTACCAGTTATTTCCAGTAACCTAGGTCTACCTCCTTAAATAGTTTGGTATTAATTGAGAAAATGTTAAAAAAACACAATTTTCTGCCACATTTTATTTTTATTAACCATTGTATACATATAAAAATATATGATTCTACAGTTACATAAAAAATCTAATTTTAAAATAAAGACAATTTACATCATTTAAACAAGTTGGATCAAAATATTAACTGAAGATAAAACTGATATAACAGCAAATTATTTTAGTTTTTACAAATGACATTTATGTTTGCCTGTATGTATAGTTCAATAATTGAAAAATCTTTAAACACCATTGTACAACAGCATATACTCCGTTGTATGCATTACAAAGGCAGGACGTTAACCCAATTGAATTATTTCCACTCACAGAAAAATATTATTTTTGAATTGACTTGGGAAAAATGAAAAATCAATAACAATATAACAATTAAAACAGCAAAAAAAATAAATACTTACTATTGCTTTATTTATATCAGATTTTTCATTAATATGTTCATATATGGCTAAAAAATACAAATTTTACAAAAAACAAAACATACTTGTAGCCAGATATGAATATATTATTGAAAAACTTTGATGGGACTTTTTATAATATAAGAATGAAATTCCTTCCTGGAGTTTCAAAATTAATCACAGTGAGTTTTAATAGGTGTCATTTCTCTCAAAAAAAAACATGGAGGCTACTTAACAGTTTAAAAAAGTCTTTGAAGATCTTCTGAAGATCATTCTCCTGACAAGGCGGTAAAATCTCTTCCTTTTAAGAAATCAAATTGCTTATGAGCACTGAGGGTAAAGATTGCTTTCATTTTTCAAATAATTTTGAGTTTTCTACCTATGTTCATAATTGTACAATCACTATCATTCTAATGTAAGTATTTTGTTTGTTTTATACAGATTTACAATTTATCAACAAATAATGTTTCTACTCGATACAAAGAGCTAACTCTGACTAACATATTGTTTTTATAAAATAATGAATTAAATAACAAATAGATTACAGAGATTGTAATATTAATCATTGATTTTTTTTATTATAACATTATAGTTGAACTGCATACTATTAAGAATAAAATGTTAAATAGTTGACCAGAAAGTTTTCTCAAGAGAGATCTCCTGTTTAGAGGTTAGAGAGAAAAGACACTTACAACTTCTGATCTACATGAATACTGTGGTTGTCATTATCATATCTACTATAACAAGTAGGTTCTGAGATCTCAAAAAACATGTTTAACCCTACCGCATTTTTGCGCCTGTCCCAAGTCAGGAGCCTCTGGCCTTTGTTAGTCTTGTATCATTTTTAATTTTAGTTTCTTGTGTATAATTTGGAGTTTAGTATGGCGTCCATTATCACTGAACTAGTATACATATTTTTTTAGGGGCCAGCTGAAGGACGCCTCCGGGTGCGGGAGTTTCTCGCTGCATTGAAGACCCATTGGTGGCCTTCGGCTGTTGTCTGATCTATGGTCGGGTTGTTGTCTCTTTGACACATTCCCCATTTCCATTCTCAATTTTATTCCAAATAAGAATATGAATAAGATGCAAGGCAATATCAAACCTAACACAAAGTATGGCAACTTGTCTATGATCGTCTATGCATTAAGACAAAATGAAAAGTTGACCTCTCACTCTGAATAAAGGCTGGTGTCAGGTATATCTCAATGAGACAGCAAACTAAGGTTACAAAAACGTTATTCTAATAGATTAACATTAGTTTTCAAAATAGATAAGTCTCAGTGTAGTTGCCCACAGTCTAGAAAAGCTGTAAATTAAGTAGCACAATGGTAGATTTGGCTTCAAAACTAAGTTTGATATAAGACAAAAACATAGCATACATGTATACCTATTGAACCCTCTTGGTGCTGGAGGGACACATGTGTTCACACAGACTGCGCAGGAGGGATACATATGTCCATATTTTTTTATTCTGTTCATAACTGTATCTCAAGAGTTTCAAATAAAACACTGAAGATTATATTTTGTAATCTTTTTCTTCTCCAATATAATATCATCAGGGCATGACATCATAATTGCATGACGTCAAAGTAATAAGGGCATTGTGATGTCACATACGTCCAGTCGCTGTATTTCCTAGAAAATGAAATGTAACCACATAAAAGTGAGCGGCAGCAAGAGGGTTGACAGAGCCAATCTTATTTGATCATTTCAATAAGATACCTTTCTGGTGTTTCTAATCTTCTTTTAATAAAAATATCTTGAATTAATTAGTATGGTAATCAATAACCCAACAAGAGGCTTGAAGGGTGTAGTCATATCAGGTTTAGAAATTTTTGTCTGATGTTTGGACTCCTTGGGTTTTTTCCTACGATATAGGGTAAAATATTTTGCATTTGTCATTACCAAAATTAAAGCAGATTCTAGATTGTTTTCTTACGATTTGAGTACCACATAATGCCAATGCTAAATATGAGGTAAAATGAGTCAGCCTTTTCCAGCCAATATTTTAAAAATCAAATATCTCAAAAAGGAGTTCCAAAAACCTATCTATATTTTTAGCTTATTTTATTCCTTAACTAATTTCTAAATTCAAGATTTTTTGATATTCACCTAACTACATCCTTAATAAACAATAAAATTTAATACTAAACCATCAATAATTTTACTACTAGACCAATAATATTTTTGTACTACTTTTACAGCTCATCAATATATCACAATCAAAGACTCTTTTGTCCTCATCATTCATAAAAAAAACCAAATAACAATACTCAACAGCTTATGATAGTTCGCTATCTAAATCTTTCTTCCCAACCATTTAAAAATACAGTATACTGACTTTGTAGATACAAAATGATTATACCCAACAATGTAAGTTTGACCCAGGGTTATTAACATAAAACTCATAACAACTATAAGACTAACAGGAATTTTCACACAGTTTGGGAAATATTAGAAGAACATAAATGTTTTGTAATGTGAAAAAAACACACAAATTGCTATGATATTAAAGGATTATGGATGATTCTGCAAAAAAAACAATAGGGAGTTTTTCGTCTATTCTCTCATTAAGGGACAAAAGCCCCGAAATGAGATGTAGCCAAGAAACTTCCTTGGGATTGAAAGGCCATTGATAATCTGTTTATAGCTATTATCCTAGGCAGCTTCAATGACTTAGACTTATGACTATAAGTTTTCCCTTTCTCCTCCACTAGATTACCTCAAATACTGCAATTTCTAGATAAAAAAACTAATGAATCATCACTGATATTCTAAGACATCTGCATGAAATAAACCTGATAATTCAAACAAACTGTATTTGATATTGATTAAGTCAAGTACCTAAGTTTCTGAGAAATACCATTTATCAAAGTTTTTTTGTGAGCACTCAAGGGTCAAGATTGCTTTCATTTTGCAATTATGTGAATTTTTGAATAAAACAGTAAAACATGATTGTACATTTGTAGTTGAACTTATTTTTATAACAGATTTATACACCATCCATTACTTATATAAATTTTAATAAAAAATGTTTTCTTGGCAAGTACATGAAGTATGGTAATTCAAAATGCACATCATACTGTAACTTAAATATCAAAGTATAACATATCATCAATAAACTGTATGGCATTGACTGGATATGATCTAAATAATGATTACTTCACTGCACTATTGTGTCTGAACAATCAAAGGTAGTGATAAACCTTTGAAGATAAGATATCAAGTCAGTACCATAGGGTTTTGATTGCATTTTATGCAATCTTTACCCAAAAACATGTACTAATTTTTATTGTTACATGTCAATCTCATTAAATTACTGCAGCAATCCCTAAAGTGTTGTTGATATAACTGCTTTCACATTTTTTAATTTTTATTGTGTATAAATTTTTCAATAATTGAATATTCTTATATCATGGAAGCCTATGCAAAAGAGAGGCGAAAGATACCAAAGGGACATTCAAACTCATAAGTCAAAAATAAACTGACAATGCCATGGCTTAAAAAGAAAAAGACAAACAGACAAACTACAGTACACAAAACACAACATAGAAAAGGCTTAGCAACATGAAACCCACCAAAAACTGGGGGTGATCTCAGGTGCTCCAAAAGGGTTAGCAGATCCTGCTCCACATGTGAAACCTGTCCTGTTGCTCATGTCAGTACAAATCAGTAATAATTCTAATTCGGTAGGTCACATTTGGGGATAAGGGGACGGGATTGTAGTTAAAGGTTAAATTATATAGTGATGTTCTAAGGTATACATATAAACTACTCTTTAAACATTTTATAACAAACAAATAATTCTTAGCAAAAAAATATAGCAATTCTCACCCAAGAAATATAGCAAAAGTTTTGACGTCTGTTTTTTCTTTAATATTCTGAAACAAGGCTGATCCTTTCTGATTCTTATATATCATATAGTGTATCATTTATCTCTTTTTTTTTTAATGAAGATCAGCTTCAATATCATAGATAATAAAGAATTTTTTCAACCTTGCATCTTAAATCTATGGGTCAAACTAAGTCGAAAGTCCTAAACTAAAACTGGCACAACTATTTTTTAAATAAATTCTATACATATATGATATGGTTCACCAAGACCTATGCTAATAAAAACAAAGAATGAAAATATATCAAAAATCCCTCTGAATAAAAAAAGTACTAGATGTCTTATGTGTTTTTTAATTTCCTTGCTTTATCATTAATCTTTTTTTTAATATTGTTCACTTTTAAAAGCTTCACTAAATTAAATTTTTGTTCACTTTTAAAAGCTTCACTGAATTAAATTTTAATTCACTTTTAAAAGCTTCACTAATTTTTAAAAAAAATAGACACTTGCAAGAAAATTGATGTCCACACATGAGTTGTCTATATAACTAGGCAGTGATAATAATTGCAACTCTTCAAAAACATATTCAACCCAACTATAATGATTTTGATCTAGCAAAATAAATTACAACAATAGCGATTCAATATAAAAAAGACATATCACAACAATAGCCATTCAATATAAAAAAGACATATCACAACCAATATTTTCATTTCAACAGGTTCAAGTTTAAAAAAAAGAGACTTTTAACTCGAACTTCTTTCCAAGAAATAATTATTACAGTTAAGAGGAAAATATGATTTTGTGGGTAAACTGTGTTATTTGTGGAAAATGTAAAAAAAGTATAAAATTATGTAGTCATTATTTGATTACCATGAATACCGGAACAGTGGAACAACAAAATACAAAATAAACAAATTTCACATTGGGCTTTTATTCTGTTCAAACTTTAATACCTTAAGTACAATGTCAAATAAAATTTAAATTGTTTGGTGTTGCCTACCTACCCACCTAAAAAGCAAGCCTACCCGAAAGTGTTTATAACACAAAATGTTTCTATTTTTTTTTTTTTTTTTTTTTTTTTTTATTTTATGCTCCATTTTTGTCGAAAACATGTAATTTATGTTGTTGGCCAAAAAAAAAAAATTAATCACTACCTACCTAACCAACCCTACAAGACATGGGTAGGCAACATCAATCAAAGAATTTGTTAAGGGTGGACCAATGATTCAACAAAGACACAGTTTTTTCTATAAGGATGTTCATTCCTCTGTTTCAAAATAACAAGCTTTTTACAAGACTGTTATAAATTGATAGTATATAAATAAAGGAAATTGAAAAGTAGAAAATAATAACAGGTTTGTGTCCTTGTTTTTGAGATATAATCAATTGAAAATTTGGCGGGAAATAATTCTCTCTAGATTTTTCATACATTCAACATTGGCACCTTTTTTCTTTCAAAAACTATGAAAAAATAACAAGGATTTTATAAGATTTTTAAATATGGCTATTTAAACTATATGCAATAAAATCATGGAAAGGAAAGTAGGGGTTAGCGGGCAAAATTTGTATTGGCACTACATTATGTACATGGATAAAACTAAAGGATTTCTGAATATCTGGCAAAAAGTCAAAAACATGAGTAGCGAACATTCTTATTCAATGAAAATTGGTACCAACAAACATGAATGAATCCACTGAGTTTAAGACGTATATAAATGAAAAAAAATTTAAAGCTGCCATAAATTTTACCTGTGGTCCCATTAGAAACCTCCAATATAAAACTTGAACACAAACATTTGGAATGAAAAAAAGAAAACTCCCCTCTTTTAGTTACCCATTTGCCTTCAATCTACAAATTATTTCCAAAACAGTTTACATTAAAGCGACAAAAATAATGCAAAGTGAAAATCTGCAGATTACATTGACATAATTACAATTGGTCTGTATACACTACAGCTGGGGGGTATTTTGTTATTCTCACCTGCCCATCATCTACAGCCCACTCTTGTGCACTCAACTTTAACCTAAAGTATTGTAAAATACAAAGGAATGTATTGAATAATAAAAAATTAGAAAATTTGGTAAGATTGCCAGTAAGACAACTCTCCACCAGGAATAAATGACGTAGAATTTAGAAACTATAAGTCACAGTATGTCCTTCAACAATGAGCAAAACCCATACCACATAGCAAGCTATAAAAGGCCTACAATGAAAAATGTAAAACAATTTCAAACAAAATAACTAGTGGCCTGATTTAAATGCAACAAACGACCACTGGATTACAGGCTTCTGACAAGGGACAGGCACATACAGAATGTAGTGGGGTTAAACATAAGCAAAACTTGACTTGTTTTGCCAAGGTATTGTATGTTGAAATCTCAGCATGAAAGACAAGATGTGGCTACAGAGGACTAGCTGAAGTTAGATACATTCTATACCTACTCAAACAGCGGAGGAGTGAAAATGACAAAATGCATCAAAGCTGTAGTGTAAATATTTTTTGACTATTTATGTCTAACCTACTATGTATGAAGAAGAAAAATTTGGAATGGCACATTTCGATTATAAAACATCAAATATTGACTCAACAGATTTCTCTCTTCAAGCACAAACTCCTCTATGTGCTTTGTATAAACTAATGGTCCAATCTGTTGCTACGGAATGGCACATTACAACAATAGGAAATCTTATATTTGCTCAACAAGTTTTTCTCTACCAACACAAACTCCTGTATGTGCTTTGTATAAACTAGTGGTGCAATCTGTCCACATGGAATGACACTTTACAGCAATAGGAAATCTTATATCAGCTCAACAAGTTTTTCTCTACCAACACAAATTTTTCTATGTGCATTGTATAAACTAACGGTCCAATCTGTCGCTACGGAATGGCACATTACAATAATAGGAAATCGTATATTAGCTCAACAAGTTTTTCTCTACCAACACAAACTCCTCTATGTGCTTTGTATAAACTAATGGTCCAATCTGCCCACAAGGTGTATTTGAGGTTTTTGATAATAGTTTCTTCAAATTTTTCAGTAAATCTTTTTCTATGCTTGATGAAAAGTTGTGCTGAAAAAAAGAAATCTTTCAATGAGTCGCTGTTAAATGATAAATTCAGAAGGAGTTCCGCGGAACCCTGTGTCTCGCCTGCCATTGCTGCTGTCAGTGTATAAGTGTAATGTTGACTTAAAAAGTGAGTCCATTTATCAGTAAAATACAGAATCTAAAAACTTTTTCTTTAGATGCTATTTCTTGGTTTTGAAAATCAGCTTCTGTCCAAATTTCATAACAATCCATGAAGGTTTACCAATTTATCATGTAAAAAAAATTTAATCCCAAACTGTCTGTAAATGTTAACTGTAAAAACAGTAAAATACGGAAAAATGAAAACAAAACAAATATTTTCAAAATTTAGCTCTGGATACTGTCTTGTGTTCATAAACAACCTTCTATCTAAATTTCATAAAATTCCATGAAGGTTTTACAAAGTTATTGATGTCTAAAAATGCTTTTACCACAGACTGAACCTAAATGTTACTGCCGCTGCTGACGGAATTTAGGATCGCTATGTCTCAATTTCGAGACATAAATGGCGCAGATTCGACAAAAATGAAAGTGTGTGATAAACTAGCTGTGTTGGGGATTACATGAATCCCCCCAAATTACAAGGGGTCTAATACATATATAGTGGGACGCCTCGGTGGTCTCGTGGTGGAGTGTTCGACTCGAGTGTGGGAGGTCATGGGTTCTAACCCCAGTCGGGTCAAACCAAAGATTTAAAATTGGTATTTATTGCTTCTCCACTAAGCACGTGGCATTAAGGAGTATGAGCAAAGACTGGTCGACTCGGAGTCAGAATAATGTGTCTGAGTAAGGTGACATGTCAACCTGCGGACTTTTACCTTGTGAGCAAGCATGTTAAAAATCTGGCTTAGCATGTCGGTCTAGTACAAAGCAGGGTAAATAGTAAATAGTCATATCACATTAACATATTCTCGTCCTGAATATGCATATTAATTTGCCGCTGGACGTTAAGCAGTCATACTTCATCATCATCGTATATAGTGGGATACTATATATGGTTTACCTGTACCAATCACTGTGTGTGGGAATCTGAATACTTTTTAACACATTTAATAAGTAATGACATGAAAGGGGTAAAGCAAATCCTAAAGGGACATAATATATGGTGCACTAAAAAAGTTTATCATGGAAATTATAAGAATACATATGATTGAGGGATGGAGAGCTGTCTGATTTTTAGAAATTTTTAACAATTATCAAATGGAAGGACAGAGCATGACCCCCTTAATTTGCCTCGAAACAAATTCTATGGTGAATTTGAAAAATGTTGACATGCCACATGGCAAGCACAATTACATCAGGTTTGGAGTGGACAGGTAAGAGTCCGTTAAAATCAATTATTTGACCTCTGACCTCATTGTCATTATCAGAGCTTATCTCCCATGGTATGTGACACATGGTATGTGACACATGGTTTATGGAGATGATGAAACCATGTCAAAGAACAAAAAATCATGAAAGGATAAAAAATATTAAAAAAATCATTTATTTTGAGACACCCCCCTTTTGTTTGACAACTTATGCTTTTGTATGGGGACATATGGTTGGAACCCAAAATCCCCCCCCCCCCCCTTTTTCATATAACTTGCATGTGTTGGATCCCACCCTTTTAAAAACGGCTGGATACGTGCCTATGTCAAATATTTAAAAACTTATGATCATTACAAGGTTGTACGAGAAAAACAACAAATAAAAATAATGCTAAAATAATGTTTAGTTCCTGAGGGGGTAGAAATAAAAGGTAGATACCTCTTTAAATGCTGTGTAAACTGCTTTGAAAGCTGGTTGTTTTTCGTTGTGCATGACACGTCTACAGCCGTGTAAAACTGACACACCATTTATATCTATGTCTTTACATACACTCATATACATACAATGATCTGGACGGTAATTCCACTCGCATGGATAAACATATAACTTATCTGTGAAAGAAAGTCAACAATAACATTTGATCTACTGTAAATTCAGTAACTGTTGTGTGCATTCGATTGTTGAGAAATGGAAACTTGAGAGATTAATTATTCAGGAAAAGCTGAATATAAATAATGCTATCAAAATTATAAATGTGAGTTTTTATTTTAGCTACACCTTTTCAGTTTCAATTTTCATAACAATACAAAAGTTTCTCACACTTTTATAGTCTGATAGTCTATAAGTTAGTCATTTAGAAAATGTTCATTTCATTGAATTATATATGCTTGTGCTTAAATTAAGGTTTTTATGAACTGGACCCTTTTAAAAGGTATTTGGTGTTCTATTTAAGACCTTTAAGATTTGTTTAAATTAATTACTTTCAAAATTTCATGCGAGAAGCTTAACTGATCGAGGATATTCTTGAAACTTCATCTGACAGTGTTTACTTTCATTTTGACTTTTGTGTGTACAGAAATTGTATGATTAAGGTTTTTTTTGTATATACTGTAAATTCAGAAATTATTGCGTGCATTTATTATTGCGATTTTGTCATTTTAGATGAAAATGCGATTTTAATTTTTGCGATATTAAGAAAAATCCTGTTTAATTCATATATAAAATTTTAAAATGCGAGTTTAAATTATTGCGATTATAACCCTGTCGCATTTTTCGCAATAATAAAAACATCGCAATAATTTCTGAATTTACAGTATACAATATTCTGGACAGTTTTTCCACTTGCAAGGATAAACAAATAACTGATCTATGAAAAAGATAAACAAATGACAGATTTATAGAACCTATAAACATGTAATGTATCTATTGATTTTAATATAGAATAGTAACCAAATTCTAGCATGTGTATACAATATTAATGACTTGGATGATATTTCAACGCACACTGATTGATGTGGAAGTGTAAAAAATATTTCAAATTAATTTATATGCTACCAGTACACATCGGATGTCAATCAAGCTCTGCCCAGTAACCAAAGCTTATGGAGCACTTCAACCTTTTAGGGACAGGGGTGAGCAGCTTAGAGATTGAGAATTGACCCTTTTCATTTATTTTGAATAAAACAAATACATACCCTATCATATATTTTTTGACAAAAAAATATACCTAAAGCTATCATGCTTACGCTATTTCATGGAGAGATAGATTTGACAAATATCTGATGCATTTACTACTGTAGTTTTAATAGCATCTCAGAAAAAAATTGACAATTGATTAGTTTCAGATATGTCATATATTTCATCTTAATTTCTTAAAAAGATATGCAATATTGATATTTACATGAAAGTCATGATAAGATAAAATATTACAAAAGCTTCTATGTCCCCCCCCCCCCCCCCCAAAAAAAAATCTAATGGAATGGCCATCCCTTAAGTAGTGAAATTTGCAACCAATGACATTATTTGAAGACCTATAAAATTAATATTAATGTGGGAGGTGTTAACTCCTACAATGAGTCACTTAAGAATTTCAGTCATTTTGACATTTTTGAAGGTCTTGTTTTAACAAGGAATTAATAAACAATGGAAAAATTTTGAAAAATAGAAAATCAGTTCAGTTACTGGTTAATAAATTAACCTTACTAAGTAGCGCTATCTATGAATGCATGGCTAAGGGTCTTCAATTGGTTAACATTCAAGTAACTATAAAACTAACTAACCTTTTAGCCAAACATAATTCTTATATAGGCAGGTTAGTTTCAAAAATAAATGTATACTAAATATTCCAGATTTTCCAATTTATCCAGTTTAAAAAAATCCTTAGTTATTGCTGTTCAGTTTTGCTGTTTAAATTTTGCATAGAAAATCAAGTTTACAGGCAAAAATACTCAGAATCGAAATTAAAGAGGAAAGCTCCTATGACAAATCTAAGATGAATACTAGATAGATATTTATTTTCATGGTACCTTTTTTCGTAGATTGAGAAGAAAATGTATTTTCGTAGATATTTGATTTCGTGCCTCAATATAATACCTCACAAAAAATAATTGAACCTAAGTACGTTTTTTTAAACTTACCTGGATTAAAATGAAAATAAATATTGATGAGATCCTGATCTCCCCATGTAATTTTTAATTTGTATTCTTTATAATATTTCATCATAGAGTCTAACCAGGTAGATTTCCTAATTCTAGTAAGATTCATAAGCATCACACCGGAATTGACACCTGTAATGGAAAAAATGTTAATTGATGTGTTGATGGCAGATTTATGTCCAGCAACAAATATTACATGCATATTTAGGTTGTTATATATGAGATAAATGTGTAAAATGCTAAATCAAAAGATATCAGTGTAGGAATATAATGTCAATTTAACCCCAACAAAAAATTTTAAGACATTAATTTGATCCAATGAGATTGAACATTGACCTCCAGCAGAGCACTATCCATAGAAAATGCACAATTATTGACCAATTATTGTCCCAGGTACTTCATGTGTGATTTGCAATTGTAGGGGGAAACAAATTTGGCTGACATGAAGTGAACATTTTATTTTTCAATACCGGTAGTTAATTGCAATGTTTCACAATGAAAAAGTTGTTCTCATGAAAAACTAATTAATGAATTCTTCTTCTTCAGGTGTTCAACAAAACTTCAGGATACTGAAGATAACTGGTTGTTAAATTTATAAGATCCTTAGAGAGAGACAATAACTTTTGTCCTTTTCCTATTCTTTTTAGGATAAAAAAATAAATACAACCCCCATTTTGAAGTACTAACAGATGGTCTAGGGGAAATAACCCATATAAGTTTATTTTTGTTAGTTTATTTTTGTGCTTCATGCTAATCTGTCGAGACTAGCCATTTCCAATTGAAATTTACATTTTTTTACATACATGTTTTGCATGGTAAAGGGAGAGTAGCACTCAATAAGATGTCTAACCCAGCCACATCCTGAATGTGTCTTTCCCAAGTTTAATTTAGTGGTTGTCATTGATTGCTGTCTGTCATATTTGTTTATTGTTTGTAGTTTTATCGTCAATTAGGCTGTTAGTTTTCTTGATTGAATTTTACATTTTGTCAGTGTGGGGCCTTTTATAGCTTACTACACAGTATTGGTTTTGCTCATTGTTAAAGGCCATATAGTGACTTATAGTTGCTTACATCCACATCATCATTCTGCACTGTTAGCCACTAGTCCGATGCCCAAGACTAGTAAGTATAAGCAAAACTTTGTTCCGACACATAAGTAATATGATGGAATATTTGGTGCGAACTGAGTCTTCATTTGGTCTCTGGTGGATAGTTATCTCATTGGTAATCATACCCTCTCCTTATTGTTAAACCAAGAGTGGTTTTGAACTGAATCCTCTGATATCTCAAGTAACTACTATAACTACTATGACTAAACCTACTAGGACTACTATAACTACTATAACTGAACATACTATGACCAAAACTACTAAAACTGCTATATCTACTATGACTACTATAACTACTATGACTACTATGATTACTATAATTACTATAACTACTATGACTACTATAATTACTATAATTACTATGACTACTATAATTACTATAACTACTATACCTAGTTCTCCATAGTAAGGATGTCTAGCAAATCTATTATACCAGCCAGCAGCTTTATCTTCATGTTCAGGAGCAAGGGCAGCCAGCTGTGTACTGTTAAATTTACCAAAAAACATCCAAATCTCCTCCACAGGTCGTAAAAATAATATATCTGTGTCAACATATAACAAACTATCCACGTCTGTTAACAATGACTGAAAATAAAGTTATTCAGATTGGGTTTAAAAATGCCGTTGTAAGTTTATAGCGAGCACTATCCACTTCTGTTAACAATGACTGAAAATAAAATTATTTACACAGGGTTTAAAAATGCCATTGTAAGTTTATAGCGAGCACTATCCACGTCTGTTAACAATGACTGAAAATAAAATTATTTAGACGGGGGTTTAAAAATGCCATTGTAAGTTTATAGCAAGCACTATCTACGTCTGTTAACAATGACTGAAAATAAAATTATTTAGACGGGGTTTTAAAATACCATTGTAAGTTTATAGCGAGCACTATCCACGTCTGTTAACAATGACTGAAATTAAATTATTTAGACAGAGTTTAAAAATACCATTGTAAGTTAATAGCAAGATTGTATTCATGGCTAATTGCCTTGAGGTCCACTAAAGATAAACCTGATAACACAAAATATATGGTTTTGTTGTAAAAAAAAAATACACACCTCTAATAATTTTAAAACAAAAAATTTCATCGGCTGATGTATAAATTATCAAAATAGAAAGTACGGTATAAAACAATGCTATCAGATTTGTGAATCGGGAATCAAAAATCTGTGTTTTAATTGCTTTTTCACCAATAAACTGTTGGACTAGGCACAATGGGTTCAAAATTTCAAGCTTGACCACGCTGTCTAATCCATGGAGAAGACATTTTGTTTCATATATTAATTTTTATCACAATCATAAAGTCTTAGAAGTGCAATCAATTTATATATGCAAAGAAGCTTTAATTAATTAAATATTTTAATCAATTTTGTATTCAATATTTCAACAAAAAAGTGTTAACAGACTTTAGCAGACATTGGTAATCAGCCTATAATTATTAATTTAATTTATTTTATTTCTGTATCACATGAGTGCTTAACTTAAGCATTGTTGAAACTGTTTATTGCAAACACATTTTTTTCCTTGAGCTGAATTTCAAACAAAATCATGTCATGATAGATTACCTGTCAATCATAATATAGTTTTACCTACCCATTCATTTATTATAGGCTGATTACCAATGTCCAATGTGTACTAATTTTCAAGTTGATTGGACTTCAATGTCATCAAAAACAACCTTGACCAAAAACTTTAACCAAAACTTTAACCTGAAGCGGGACAGACTGATGGATGGACGGACGAACGAACGCACAGAACGAAAAACATAATGCCCCTAGGTGGGGCATAAAAAATAAAAAGATATGAATATATCAAAAGGGCAATAAAAAACAAAACACAAATCGAATAAAATCAGACAACTCCCTGGCAGAATAAAACAATACAACAAGCAGTTCACAAACCATTTGACAGAAAATAAACGTGAGGATCACTAGCCTCACCAAATACCAGTGGTGACCTCAGGTGCTTTGGAAGAGTCAGAAATTTCTGCTTCATCAGTAGCTACGTAGTGTAAATAAAATTGAGAATGGAAATGGGGAATGTGTCAAAGAGACAACAACCCGACCACAGAACAGACAACAGCAGAAGGCCACCAACAGGTCTTCAATGCAGCGAGAAATTCCCGCACCCGGAGGCGTCCTTCAGCTGGCCCCTAAACAAATGTATATACTAGTTCAGTGATAATGAACGCCATACTAAACTCCAAATTGTACACAAGAAACTAAAATTAAAAATAATACAAGACTAACAAAGGCTAGAGGCTCCTGACTTGGGACAGGCGCAAAAATGCGGCGGGGTTAAACATGTTTATGAGATCTCAACCCTCCCCCTATACCTCTAGCCAATGTAGAAAAGTAAACGCATAACAATACGCACATTAAAATTCAGTTCAAGAGAAGTCCGAGTCTGATGTCAGAAGATGTAACCAAAGAAAATAAACAAAATGACAATAATACATAAATAACAACAGACTACTAGCAGTTAACTGACATGCCAGCTCCAGACTTCAATTAAACTGATTGAAAGATTATGTCTTCATCATATGAATATCAGGCACAATCCTTCCCGTTAGGGGTTTAGTATCATACCATCATAACATAATATGAGAAGAACATAACCCGTGTCATGCCAACAACTGGTTTTTAAATAAATGTGTTTAGTGCCGATGCAAAGACCCTATAAGTGAATCAATATTAACGCCAAAATATGCAATCTTTAATGACCTGACAACAGAATCGTAACTATATCCCTTCTTAATAAGTCTATTTAAAGGTTTTGTTAGTTTCAGAGGTGAATACTGACATTTTTGTGCTTTATAAAGAATATTTCCATAAAAAATTGGATGTGAAATACCTGAACGTATAAGAAGTCTGCATGTTGAGCTATATTTACGAATGATGTCCTTATACCGATGATAAAATTTAGTAAATGTTTTGACTAGTTTGTGATATCGAAAACCCTGGTGTAATAATTTTTCAGTAATACATAAATTTCTCTCCTTAAAATCTAAAACATTGTTACATACACGAGCGAATCGTACAAGTTGAGATATATAAACACCGTAAGATGGTGACAAGGGAACGTCACTATCTAAAAATGGATAATTAACGATAGGAAATGAAAAATCATCTCTTTTATCATATATTTTAGTATTAAGCTTTCCGTTAATGATATAGATATCAAGATCGAGGAAAGGGCAGTGGTCATTGTTAGTATTAGCTTTATTTAAAGTAAGTTCAACAGGATAAATTTCTTTAGTATACATACTGAAGTCGTCATTATTGAGAGCCAAAATATCATCCAAATATCTAAAAGTATTATTAAATTTGTGTATCAGATGTTGTTTCGATGGGTCTTTACTGATTTTTGTCATAAATTGTAACTCATAGCAATACAAAAAAAGGTCCGCAATAAGTGGTGCACAGTTAGTCCCCATTGGAATTCCGATAACCTGACGATATACGGAATCTCCAAAGCGAACAAAAATGTTATCTAGTAAAAATTCAAGGGCATATATAGAATCAAAGCATGTCCAATTGACATAGTTTTTTTGTTTATTGCTACTAAAAAATGACCTAAAAGAGTTTGAACATATATATTCACATTCTGACTTTTTAAATGCCCATTTAATTAGGTGTGTGAATTTTTTCTTAATGAGAATGTGAGGCAATGTGGTATATAGGGTAGAAAAATCAAAACTTTGAACAGATTCAAAATCACCAATATATGCATGCAATTTATCAAGTACTTCCAACGAGTTCTTGACACTCCAAAAGTAATTAATTCCACTATTTTCGAAGGCCTTATTTGAACAATTTATTATCAGGTTTTTGATTGTACCAAGTGTACTGGTAAGAAGAATAGACAATTTAGTAGTGGAACAATGGCTTGAAGACGAAATGAATCTATATTTGTAAGGTGTTTTGTGTAGCTTCGGAAGCCAATACATAGTTGGGACTTTCATTGTATTTGGTTCTGCTTGTAAAGCGGTAGCTAAAAGTTTATGTTTGTTACAGATGTCGTTTTCTGAAAATGGAGTCAGTTGGAATGTTGGTGAATTGGTGATTTCTTTTTTCAGAACCTCAATGTAAAATTTACGTCAAACAATAATAATATTATTACCAGCTTTATCGGCCGGGACAAAAACAAATTCCTTGGCTAGTTCTTTTAGTTTATGTTTGATACGAGAAATAGGTTTATTGTGGTTATTGTTAAGAGTAAAATGTTCTTTAAAATGTTGAATACGTATATCAACTATGTTCATTACTGATTTAAAAAAAGAGTCCAAAGATTTTTTGTCAGCTTTTTCCCGTTTTATCCATTTCAAACAGTAAGTATGGAGTGAGTCGTGGATGATATTACGACACTCATTCCAATTAATAATTGACGGGGGACGATATTTAGGTCCTTTACTGAGGAATGATTTTAACTCTCGGTCTTGAACGATGTTAAGATCTCCTGTTATAACATGGGAAATGGGTCCATAAATGTATAGCTATAACAAGTATAAATCTGATGAGGGTCTGGATGGGGGATCCATCATTTCTGTATTCTTTAATTATTTAGGTCATTTTTCTCTATTCTTTATACTTTTTGCTCATTATTCTCTATTCTTTATATTTTAGCAGCTCATTATTCTCTATTCTTTAATTTTTTGGTCCATTTTTCTCTAATCTTTATATTTTAGCACCTCATTATTCTCTATTCTTCATATTTTAGCACCCCATTATTCTCTATTCTTCATCTTTTAGCACCTCATTATTCTCTATTCTTTATATTTTAGCACCTCATTATTCTCTATTCTTTATTTTTTCAGTCCATTTTTCTCTATTCTTTATATTTTTGTCCATTATTCTTTATTCTGTAAACCCCAATCCACACCCTCTCTGACGATGACGTAAAAGATCAAGTTATCCAAATAAGCGCACACAAACATCTCATGTATTAATGATTAAATGTTTACGACTTTAATGTTCCACAATAAAATCAATTGTTGCATTATTTTTGTATTTGATTTCATACTTACAGGTATAAAAAGTCTTTGTGATGCACATGGTTTAAACAATTTCTTCCAATCTTGTGTGTTCTCAGTAGGAAATGTTATATTATACAGGTAATATAGAAATTTGTGTTTGTATTCCCCTGGCCAGTAATCCAACTGAAAAAAAAAAACAATACATGTAGTACATTTGACTGTAAGTGTGTTCAACAAAGTTTGCTTTTTTCAGAGCTTTTGAAAAAGTTTTGTTTAAGGATGTTCGCTACTCTCCTTCAAAATAACAAGCTTTTTAAAAGACTGTTATAAATTGATAGTATATAAAAATAGGAACTAAAAAAGCAGAAGAAAATTAAGGGTCCATGTGCTTGTTTTTGAGATATAAGCCATTGAAAATTTGGCGGGAAATAATTCTCTCTAGACTTTTCATACATTTAACATTGGCACCTTTTTTCTTTCAAAAACATTGAAAAATAACAAGGATTTGAAAAGATTTTCAAAGATGACATTTTAAACTATATGTAATCAAATTATGGAAAGAAAAGAAGAGGTTAGCGGGCAAATTTTTTAAATGGTACTACATGGATAAAAGCAGAGGATTCCGAATATCTGACAAAAATTCAAAAACGAGAGGAGCGAACATCCTTAAAGGGACATTAGCAACAACATATATAAAAAAAATAAAACATAATTATTTTTTTTTTTTTTCAATCATTAATGAAAGTGAAATAGTGAAATAATAATTCGCTTTTAGCAGCCAGTTTGTTTCATTTTTGTCAAAATAATCTAAGAAACATTGCTGAGGAATTATTCACTTGCAAATTAATAATTCGACCTCATTGAATCTGTATTCATGTGAACTTTTATTTAACACCTTAGCTAAAGACTTGTTACGCGTAAACTAGGCGTGTTCAAGTATTAAAAGGAAAAGAATGTCAACATTGAAAGTGAAACAAGGGTAAACCATTTGGTAGACTGATCAAATCCACAAAAACTCATTCTTATACAGGTAAAATTGATACTTAACATATTTGTTTAACCTATCATATGAAATCAAACAGACCTAGAAAAAATCCAATTGCACAGGTTTGCTATCTATTTATATCTATATTTATGTTTACATCGGGTTATATGACTGTCGGAAGTCTTCGGAGGTCACCTCAATGGTTAATTAGAAGGAGTCTAGACTAAAATACACATGAAGTGCTGATACATATTATTGAGTTCATGCATAGTAAATTGTTTATATTAGACTTTTTTAGAATTTGGATATATGTTATAGTATGTTATAAATCAAATGTGGGTTTAAAGTCAAATCTATGAACATGAATTTGAACAGCTAATGCCTCTTTAAAGATCATTGCATTTAAATTTTCATTGTAACCTTTTATTGTATTTTTAAACAATAGTGTGATTTGAGTTATTTCCCTTTTTCCAAGACCATGTATGTTGAGAAGAAAGACTTTGTGTAAATTAAAAATGTAATGTTTTTTGCTATGGTATATATATACAAACACACACACATCATTTTGGAAATTAGTTACCAGAGCATACATTAAAGGACTGGGAGAAATCTAATAGTTAGTTGTGTGACAAGGGCCTATATAGGTCATAAGGAATATATAATAAAAGTCAATGGCAGAAAAATATCTTTTTTGTATGAAGCTTTGAAACTTTAGGAAGGCAAAGTTAAAGAAGCCATTCAACAGTTTCAGGCTGAATAAATGAATAATAGCCACAAACAATCATATGAAAATGAAATTCTACAAAATATAATTAACACTTATTAAACTATTTAATAAAAAGATTGCTAAAAAAGATTGCTAATCCAATGACCCCCCCCCCCCCCTCCAATTGTATAAATGAGGAATTAAATTATGTGTCACAATATGTCAATGTGGTACAATAGTCAAAATATGCAGTGATCTGGAAGGATTTTTTCTCTATGGGCCCAGGGCCCCCCAAAAATAAATTCAATGGGCCATTTTTAGAATTAATGGGCCATGTTGTCAAATGAGTGGGCCATTCGTTTACAATAAAAAAAAAAAATAAAAAAGTGTATATTTCACTGTACTTACAAGTATGATTCTAATTAATATCATGGATATTGTTCCTGTGATTTTGTAATTTCAATTTCAATGAATATACAATAACTTCTTCCAAACCGGGCAATTTTTACGATAACCTTTATTTACAATGTTAAAACTGGTACTGTTCCCTTGTTCATGTTCATGTTTTTTTTTTACATTAAATTTGGGTCTTCGTCGATACCATGCTTATTCCAGACGTTCCGTATTAGAGGACGTTTCTGGCATTTCCTCTGCACTTGTATTATTATTACCTCATCACGATGACAAGAATAACAGTAGAGAGCAACGTTAATTGATAAGACACAACAACAATTCGCTGAAGGCATGTTTACAAAATGTCAAAACGAGCCAAAGACAAAAAAAATTGACAAGGACAGTTAAGCCCCTTTTATGGAGACAAATACTATGCTATTCATAAAAAGGCTTTTGGATTTTTCAATCGAAATAATAACAAGCTTACTTAAAAGATTACAATTAGAGAAGAATTCTCGCCTGTACTAGCCAATTTCACAAATTTAAAGTTGTTTATAAAAAATTATATCATGAATGATGGTTAATTACGTTTTTTGGGTAATCAGTCATACCGCATGTTGCTATTATTACCATAGGAAAACACCCGAGACGTCCCAAAAATATATAGGTGCTCCTATCATTGGAGTAAACAATACACAGTTGTGTACTCACACATGGCGGCACGAAATACGATCGGAAATCCATTTGACGATATCGCAACGTTTCAAAACGAAGTGAAAAATATCATGCACCACGCGGGCGCTTACATTTGTCACTCTATGCGCCATTTCTGGTCGATAAGCGCAATTGGCGCAAGGCGCACGTCCTTCCCGATCACTGAATATGGTAAAATCCAATAAAATTGGCCAGTAAAAAAGGTAAAAGTTATGGACAAAGTGTTATAAATATTTCCTTCCATGGCACACAGGTCAAAATTTGTGTATACAATATAGCTCAGATCTTTCAATGGTATTTTTAAGCATGGTGTAATTAATGATACGACAAATGTATGCTTTCTAACCTTTTGTCTAAACATAGGTTGAAGTTCATGTTCAGCATATATATGAAAGACTAAAGGTTCAGAGGTAAACAACACCGCTGATTTTAACAATACAATAGTTTCGTCTCCTCGATCTCCACATGCTACTACAGACAAGTGTATACCATTCTTCCAATGACTTGAATGTCTGAAAGAGAGTATAAGAACATTTGCTTTCATATTTTAACAGTATGACATGGTAAATATCAAACATTTTATAATCTAGTGTGTGCTCTATTTAGAATGTAATTTAACATATTAAGGCATTATTTTTGGTTGTTTCATACTTCAGAAAAATGTAATAACATTAACGGTACAAATTTTATTGCGCCAGATGGTCATTTTGACAATAAATGTCTCTCCAGATATTAAAACTTGCAAGTAACAACCTTTTGGTGTACATTTTTTAAAGTATTTCTACATGTCCTAATGCATTGGATTCTGGAACAGTGAATACTTACAGTAGAGGTATTACCTGATTACTATTTCTATCATTATAAAAGTATTCTTCTTTTAACATACCAAGTCACAATAAAATATATAAATGTACCTTAATTTTTATCCCGATTTTTTCAATTTTTCAAAATGTTTACCATATCTTTCCAAATAAAGAAAAAAATATCATAAAAATCATACATTTCTAGAAATATACAACAAAAAAAATTCCTGCCTTTTTAAATTGATTAATGATAATTGGGAAACATTTCTGTTTTGGCATAACAAACTCATTACATTGGTCTATCTTCATGGTCATTATCTTTTTCATCTGTTTCAACATGTTCCTCATCAAGTTTTTCGGGTACATGATTTAGGTCAATATCTTCTTCTTTTTTCAGTAAACTGATATTTTCAGACTTTTCATTCTGAGTGACATAGTACAGATACACGGCAATCAGAATGACCACTGTCACCCCAAACTTAAATATCATTTTCTTTCTCATTTGTTCATCATCTGAAAAAAACATAATTGAATGGAATAAGTTTCTTTCCTCTTGTTAATTTTCTTTTCCTCTTATTAATTTTTCTTTTGCTCTTGTAAATTTTTCTTTTCCTCTTGTTAATTTTTTTTTCATACTATATTAATTTTCCTTTCCATTTGGTCTATACTTTCCCTTTGTAAATTTTCCTTTCCTATTGCAAATTGTCTTTCCTCACAGTTATTAATTTTCCTTTCCTATTGCAAATTGTCTTTCCTGTTATTAATTTTCCTTTCCTACATTGTCATACTGTTAATTTTTTTTCTTTTAAAGTGTGGGAACGAAAAAATAAAAGGAGACTCAAAATCCATAAAAGTTTACAATTTTTTGAAATATAAAATGCATTTAAAATTTAATTATCTAGATCCTGCCATGCCTTAAATCTTTACTAGGTGCACAGGTTTTTCTGATTTCAGATGTAACCTGTTTTCAGATGGTAAAAATACTGCAATATTTCTCAAAATATTATGAGGAAGCTTAATATACATGATAAACAGAACTGTAAATTCAGAAATTATTGCATGCATTTATCTTATTGCGATTTTTGAAGAATAGACGAAATGCGAGATTGATTATTGTGATTTTGGGAAAAGCTGCCTACAGACATACATACCATATATCATAATGCAACTTCTTATTATTGCGATATGCCTCCTGTTGCATTATTCGCATAAATAAAAATCTCGCAATATTTTCTGAATTTACAGTAATTTGTTGGAGTAACAGGATAGGTTTCACATGTGTACAAGGATTTACTAGCCATTGTGCGGCACCTGAGACCAACTCCTATTTTTTTTTCTTTGAGGGGATGGGGTGTCATGATCAGCATCTCTGTGAATTATGAGGGGCCTGATGGGGGGGTCTCATCACGATTCACGAGTTGATTTTTTTGTTAATCACGATTCACAGAAAATAAATTTCCATGATCACGGATCACGAAAATATGAAAAAAAAATAAATCTGTAGAAAAACGGATCACGTATCAATATCAGTGATCGCTTTGAACTCTTTAGACTTTACCAGCAACTGTAGCTCCCTCCTAGGTATATATCCTTCAAGAGGGAACTTTCAAAACTCAATTCCTAGTCTGTTCAGTCCATTTTTTGCAAACTAAGTCAAATGATGGAATAGAGCTGTGAGAGCAGGGATTATTTCCCTGGTACTGCCATGGAAGCAGGATTGGTTCAGGCTAGTCCAGATAATCATGCCATCTGATGATGGTATTTTTTTATTTTTTATTTTTTTTTATCCCTATGATGCAGGAAGGCGTCAAAGCAAAAAATAAAAAAGACTTCCAAGACAATTATTTGGACTAGGTTCAGGCCAGATGAATGAAAAGCAAAAGGGTACCTTTATCTTTATTTATTTTCTCTTTATTGTTTATTATATCCGATCACACTGATATGATTACTTTATATATTTTTGCCGTGGTCTCCCTGATATTCTGACTCCCCATTAGTCAGACACCTCATTGGTCGGGCACCCCATTATTCTGACACACCCCAATAGTCTGACAAAGGAAGGTAACGTGACGGTACCCAAACTGCACCTATTCATTTTTTTAAAAAGGGATGCTTGTAACATATTTTTTTTGTTCATTTTTAAAAGATGACTTTTTGTGAACGTCGCATGGCGACGTTTTCGTACATTTTTCTTTTCCAGTGAAAGCTTTGAACATCTGTTGATATAAACTGTGAACGTTTAGTGTATTTTGAATATATTCACCTATTTTGTAAGACCTGTATAATGTCAAATAACTAAAGTACAAAATGTTTAGTCTCAAAGAAAACTTTTAAGAATTTCTCAGCTGTTTATGTTGAATAGGTGCAATTAGGGTATTTGGGACCATGACGTTATATTATTGCCGTAATAGAAAATTTATTCATACAATCATAGAATCGTTGGTGTGTACATAAACTACAACAAAAGACTGTCAAAGAAACAGATAATACCATACCACCCATCTGGTATTTAAGAAATACCAAGATCATATCACATATGTCGAGTATGGATTTTGACGAGTAATATTATAAAGTTGAACCTTGTTAACTTGGATCAGTCGACGGACAAGACATTCCGTTCTAAACACAGTTTTAATGTTAAATAAACATGTCATAAGGTTTTTTTAATATAAAAAGATAAATGATACTAACTATTGTTCAATTATTGGTTGTTGGGCTATTGGGGGCGTCAGACCCTTACATGCCTTGGCTTAGGGCGTCGGACTAACGGGGTGTCGGACCAATGTGATGTCAGACTAACAGGTGTCGGTATATTTGGTCTCCACCATTTTTGCCCACCAGATATAGATCTATGTAGATGTGGATGACCTGTTGTCTTGTAAATCTGAACCTGTCAAGATTTTGCTGGCCCCTGTTTACTGACACAGTCTGCATGGTCTGTGTACATGTGTCTTTGTGCCCTTGTTGGAATATAAAACATTTGACGAAGTAAAATATCAACAAAAGATATGAAAAGTAGGTGCATTTTAGTTGAGGTAACACAAGAAAGCTGTTGACAAAATAGATTACCTTAAAATTTAGAAAAATTATTTTTTTAGCAGAAAACGTAGCCCGGAAGTTTCAGCAATTACACCTCAATGATAGAGAGCCTTCGAGAAATTTTCTATGGTGCGCAAAATTACTATAATTATATTTGCCAAACCAACAGCACATTTAAAACAAGACATTTTAACAAAACATCTTCATTTTAGGGGACGACCATTTGATTCTGAGGGGGCAGGGCTGGCAATTTGATGAGGTCCGAATATTTATTTCCAACATATGCGGCCAGATTATTTATTTTCACTCTGACCATGGCCAGAATCTCGAGGGAGGGGAGCCTCTGAGGCCGGAATATTTATTTTCTACTCATCCACAAATTGACACAAAAGCTGCCCATCCTCGCCCTCCCACAAAATTCACTTTTTACCCTTAAAGTAATCTAACTTTTGTAATATATATATATATCATATAGATCATCTATTTGTAGGATACACATAAAACTTTGAAAAACAAACAGAGCTGTCAAAATTATATTAGTATATGAAAATATAACAGCCTTACAATCATGATCAAGGGTGGATCTAGGGTCCAAGGAAAGAGGGGTGTTGTTATTGTCCAAGATGGTAAACTTTCTGCTGAGCGTAGCGAGACAATTTTTTGGGAAAGGAAGGTTTCATTTTTTTCAGGTTAAAAAGAGGGTGGACGTACTCTCTGCCCTCCAAAATAACCAGACAATACTTCTGCTAAAAAAAAAAGTTTTATAAATTTTATGCGTCCGATAATACAAGAATAAAGAAAACATGGTATGATTGCCAATCAGACAACTCTCGAGAGACAACTATCCACCACAGTTCAATTGAAGTGGATATAATCAAATATAGGCAACCGTGTGGCCTTCAACAATGAGAAAAACCTGAACCGTATAGTCGGCTATAAAGGCCCCGACATGAAAAATATGAAAAAATTCAATTGAGAAAACTAACGGCCTAATTTATCATTTGAAGAAGATAATTTACGAAAAACAAATATGACAGACATGAACCAACGACAACCAATTGGATACACGCTCCTGACCTGGGTTGTTGTCTCTTTGACACATTCCCCATTTCCATTCTCAATTTTACATATAGAATGTGGCTGGGTGGAATATTTATAAAGACGCCAATTACCCTCCCCTAACCTGGGATAGTGGTGTAACAGCACAACATATCATGAACAAACTATAAAAAAAAATCAGTTGAAAGGGCTTAACTAATCAGATTGATACAAAGCAGAAAAAAACAAGTACTAACACACAGACCGGACGTGGTAGGGTATTTATACATCCCAACAACAAAAAAGACAATATAAGTACAGACCTATTGGTACTCGCAGTTACTGACAGCTAGTTCAAAGCCAATAACAACTTATAAAATCAAAGTACTGAAGTACTGAACATCGGATGACCGCAAGTTCTTGTGGATTGTCAAAAGCACTTGTTACAGAAAAAAATCACATCTCTCTACCAAAAACTGAGGTTAAAATACAGATATTTTTTTTTCTGAGACAAGTTCGTGCGTGGATGATGAATAAATGACAGGAAATTCAACCTCACCCTAATAACTATTATATTTTAGTGATACAAATCAGTATACACTGATTTGTTGTTATATATTATATTAATATAACAGTTACATGTATATATAATTTTCATCCATTTGTATATCATTATATTCTACTATTCCAATAAGAGTGCAGTTCAAGTGCATGGTGGACACTCTTCCGTAAAAATTCGATTTTTCTAAAAGATTGGATATGAGTAGGCATTCATATTTTCCCGCAAAAACAATCTTCCATGCAGAGTTACCGGTCCTTACCGGGATTGTCGCAAAATGTTCATGAGATATTCTTCCGCATGCTTTACCATATCAATGATTTTTTACTTATATATATATATATATATATATATATATATATATATATATATATATATATATATATATATATCTAACGGCAAAACATTTTCATATTATTAATTTATGTTCTAAACAAAAATATTGTTATCAGTATTCATTGAAGAGATACATTTATAACAAACGATAAGGAATGTTATTTTGCACTCGTTAATATCCGCGTATTTATCATGTTTATAGATCGGTTACAAACCCAAAACGAAAGTTACATAAAGGAAATCTATGCGATAGCAATACATCGGAATGCCCTCACGGTCATCGCGATGTAAAAATCATGTACATCGGAAGACTAAAATATCAATTAGTACAAATCCAATGGATTTAGTGTAAAGACGTCATTAACAGTCAGGGAAAACACGACCTTGAGCTGGGAACAGTATATCTAGCAATATATATGTTCCTGCCTTGAGCAATGTCAAATTACAGGTATTGCCAGATTGTAGAACCGTGAATGTGCATATATATATAACAATGATATTTATTAGTTTGGTTTTAATTTACTGATAACAAAATCAATATTTATACCAATAAAACAAACATTCAAAGATATAATTACGATGAATTGGTAACCTTTTAGAATAAGTTTATCTAAAGGATTGATGAGTTTACCGGAATCGTATCTAAATTTCCGGGCTCGGTAAACAACATCCCATGACAACTATGAAAGGTACAGCCAAACTTGCAAACAAAATCTCTGTATCTATCCCCATTATAGAAGAATTAAATAAAGGTTTTAAATAATTCGTGGTAACGAAATCCCAGACCTAATAATTTACCAGTAATACATAGATAACTATCATTGAAATCCCATGCGTCACTCCAGACACGGGCTTAACTTTTTTGCATGAATTATCAAACAGAAAACAGTGTGTTGGAGTTGGCTCCAGTATGAACAATTGGCATAATTTCTACATCGGTGTACATTTGTACCACAAGGTTCTATTCTTGGTCTCATATATACTTTTCAATATTTTCTTAAACGACATCTTTCACTTCACATCACACAGTTCACTCTACAATTATGTCGACGACAATCGTGACTCTCTCTTATGCAAATAGGGATATGAACACAGTTATTTCTGCACTTGAAAAGAAAAAAACAGTTAGGCACTAAAAGACTGGTT